CTATATTTTTATAAAAAAAATATAAGTAACTTTAAATAGCAAAAAAATACGTGGTGCGCTTATAATTACGACACGTGGTGTATATATAAACGTATGCAGTCGTATTCGTATTTTGGACAATTGCAAAACTGGAAATATCAAATTAATTTTTTATCAAAAAAAAAAAAAAAATCTTAACGAGTATTAAATTCGAGCACACTTTGCACAGAAGGATGCTTTCTAATACGTTTGTCGTGTTGTTGTTATTCTTCTGCAGCGGCAAACAATTTCCTAGCAGCAGCGACAAAAAGAGGTTTCCAATTTCCGCAAAAAGCAATTTTGGCAAAGCAAATGAGACTGTGAAACGAGCAAACATCGTCGTCGAACACCAAATAAGCAGCGCGCTGTATGCAGAATAAAAGAAAGTCCGAAGAGACAAATTACAAGCAGGCACGGGCGGGGCCAGCGAATGGGAAAGCACAACCCCGTAAATTGGCAACCAGAAGCCAAGGGAGAGGAAAGCGCACCACTGCATTGTAAATTGTAAATGAAAGCAGCAAATCGTAGATGTGATGCAAGGCAAAGGATATGGATATGGAAAATTTTCGCAAAGTATCCACAAATGAGCCAGCAAGCGCTGAGTAATTACATTGCGCCCAATTCTTGTATTTTCTAATGAAAAATGAGCATTTTGTGTTCACATTTTGTGTCGGATTGGCAGCACACATGTGCCACATTCAGCAATTCACATTTGCTTATATGCAATTTGCACGCCACATAATTCCTGAATGAGTGATCGGTAATTGCAAGGCAAAGTGAAAAAGTGAAAGAATTCGAATTGGAGAAATGCTCGCTGATGTTTTTGTTTGTTTTGTTGTTGTGTAAAAGTAATAAAGTAAATGGCATGAACATGAAAAGCTTTCGTAAGCCGAGTAGAACAAAAGGCACATACATACATACATACATACATACATATGGACGTACATACATTGCCTAAGTGACAAACAATTAATGTCACTCATACGCAACGCGCGCCGCAATCAGACATATAAATGCGGATAAGCGTGTAAAAGCAATTGAGCTGAGCGCAGTAATTGCGTTTCCATTTAAAAATTGCTTTAATCTAGATTTGTGCCACGTTAATCCGTATCACACGCGCGCGCGTTTGGTAGGAAAGGTGGGTGGTGAGGCTAGGCAATGGCTCAACAGGAAACAAATTCAATTCCGTGTAATTGTCTCACAATTTGCAATTTGTCATTCTACATAAATGTGTTTACTAAGGCGAAAATGTGAGTACTTATGCAGATGCGTAATAAGTGTAGCAGCACAAGTAGAAGTTTTTAGGGTTAATTTTTTTTTATTTTTTCTAGTAACACTTTCTTTGCTGAGTATTTTGAGTGTCATTCA